TCTCGAAAAAAGGAACAGTTAAACAGCAACGGCGGGTGGAACGGCTCGATTTAGGACATGCACCAAAATAATTTCAGCCGTTCGTGCAGAAAAATGCACTTCGTGAATGAAGTCTTCCATTTTTGCTAGGCGAATCAGAATATTTTGAGTGATGGCGTTCTAATCCATGTTTAAATAGGGATGCACCACTGCCGTCGAAACATGATCATTACGACCGCAAGACTCTAGTGTACCATAAAAAGTGCCATCGGCATCGACGTGTCAATAAAGTCATCTCCACTCCCTGTATACCAAAATTGTTCGTAAGACGACCATTCATTAAAAAGCCTTCCCTTTTTTTCCAAACAAGGGCATAACAAAACCAAGTTGTTCATGTATCATGGAGGAATCAACGGCGCGTACGAGGCCATCTACCACGGCGTACCAGTGGTGGGGATACCATTGTTTGCCGATCAGATCGACAACCTCCTGCGTCTGTGGAGCCTCGGTATGGCAGAGTACGTGAAAGGCGGAATACGTGAGGTCAACAGTGATACGCTGTACCAACTCATCATGAAAGTGGTATCTAATCCGAGGTAATTAATACATGTAGTCAACTTCAGATGCTATAGGCAAATGAGACGCCATTCCGAGGGGCACCATACACTCACGAAGCTGTTTCAACTTGAGCGCGCACACGCACTTCGGCAATTGGCTATACGGTTCGTAAGTGTGACGTCACTTCAGTTTAAACCACGTCCATTGCACATGCAGAGCACATAGGGCATTGATCGCCGTTTACATGGAACCATGGAAGTGGAAGTTAACGAGCAACTTCAGCGATTGCCCAAATGGGAGCCTGCAAATCATGACGCGTCCGCTTTTGTAACGAAGTCACTTAAGAACCAGGTAGAGTACGAAGTGTGACGTCATTTGGAACCAGGTTAAGGGAGCCTTTACATAATTATTATGTACGTTTTTGGCTGCGTTACGTACATGATGCGTTCATGTGTTTCACTTTCACAGATACAAAAATTGACTCCATTAACATAACACATGTGTACGTTGCGTTTAGCCGTCAAAATCGCTCCAGGAGCAATTTTTGACGGACACGCAAGGCTTGGCACAAGTGTTGGCGCAAGTATACATGAAAAGGCGCTTAATTAATGCGCTTGTTCTCGCGCTACACTTACACATAGGTGTGCTAGACGTAATCCCTTGGGCACTCTATATGGTTGATTTCTCTGCAGGACTACTAAGAAGGGCGCAGATATTATATACTTTTAATTACTTTTGCAATATGCAGAAAGGGTCAAATTTCATTTTAAAAAATACAAATTGGCCCGTTTCAAACCAAACTGCAAACCGTGCTCTGAAATTTTGATCTTTATAACAGCTACAAACGTCACGCAGTTGCAGCATCAGAGAGGTATAGGGCCCAGCCGCAAAAGCCATTGGAAAAAGCCACTTTCTGGATCAACCACGTTCTCAACCACGGCGCCGAGCACCTACGGACAAAGAGTAGAGAGCTGTCATGGATTCAGTATCACATGCTGGATGTAGCGGGTGTGTTAGCCATTCCATTCGTCCTCTTCATCTGGGGCGTACGTTTCTGTTTATCAGCCTTGTGTTGCCGTGCTAAATCAGCAGGACAGCAGTATAATACACGCAAATGATGCCATAACCATTTCCACCGAATAAACGCCACGAAACTTGATGTCAATCAGCACATGTTGTAATTACGAAGCACCGTTCACTGCTGTTCCACGCAGACTCCGTTTCCTGGATTTCTGCTCAGTGAAAAGTGAGATGACCGTGTATGATTGGTTCCTTATTCCCTTGCACGTTGTTGTTTAGTTTGCAAAAAACACTTCGTCGTTAGTTGAAAAGAATTTTTTTAATGTGAACTCTACACGAAGGCCGCCCTTCCTTGCAACGAACAACTTTGAAAAAGACTTCTTTGATTTTTATCTTGCCATCGCGCCGTGCGGTAGTTTTTTCTGGGAGCAAGAAAACTTTCCCTTTGGAACCCGCTTCGTAGACATGTACATGCAGTCTGTGACGTAATCTGAACGGAACCAGTCTGTTGCATTTTTTGCCAGACACGCAGAACTCTGCAGCTCAGAAACCAAACAATTGCACATAGGCCTTAAACTTGTTATTTTGTCGAGTTTCTCATGAATAATTTTATGAAGCAAGGCTTATTTATGGAAAATGCTGGGAAGTACTGGTCCTGAGGTGTAGGTCAACTAAAATACTTAGGTTACCTCTGCTTGGCGTCGGGACGTAGCCAAGCTGACCTAACGTTAGACCTCAGGACCAGTGATTCCCACTACTTCCCCACAAACCACACACTGCTTGTAGTCTGTTTCAGAGTTCTTTCCAGGTCAGTCCTTATCTATCACAATCAAAGCAGTGCTGTTTTGGGGCTGACATTTATATGTGACCTGTAACACAAAATGAGCTGAAAGTTGGAATGTTCAAAAATTGAGACATTGGTTTGAATTCAGCAGAAACAGGGCTTTTCAGTGGTATGTATACATGGAATACTTTGGGTTTAAGTATAAATGGTGACAATGTGACATTTCTGGCAGGTTTACCTCTTTGTTTCTGACATTGTTTCAACATTTCTGATCGTAGCCCGCAGCCAGAATGATGAACCCTGTTTCTTGGGGATATATAATGTTTTTTCATATTTGGAGAAAAGAAGTCATACATTTTGTCTGGGTGGGCAATTTAACACAGGCCTATCGGTTATTTCTGTTTTTATCGATATTTTATCGATACATACTGCGTTTGCACGATTAAAAGTAAAAGTAAACTGTTTCTTTGGATATTCTGATCGACGAATACTTTTTAAGAATTCAAATGATAAAACCTTGTCGGGGATGGACATCTTCAGATATCGATCATATCTGTTTTGGTCGATATTTATCAATACATATTGCGTTTGTACAATTAAAACAAATAAAAGACTAACAAAATTTAACTTGAATAAAAAACAAATATCCCATATTTATATGTTAGAATGAATAAGAAATTAAGTGTCATTGCATGAGCACACCATGCAAAAATCTGCAGAAGGTGAACCCGCTGGATGACGGATCTGTCTCATATTTGCACAAAAGTTTCCTCTTGGGGTACAATTAGGGCAGGTAAATCCATTTGGTGAAACATCGCTACATTTAGGAAGTGGGATTAGCCATTTCAATGCATTCTCTATTAAAAATGGCAATTTTTTATCAAAATGACCAAGTATGTCGATTAATTTTTTTTTTAAATCTTACACTGTAAAAGGACCGCATAATAATTACTGCAAGATCAAATTAGAGGTCTTAATTTAAGCTATCTTTCCATTTTCATCTTTTGTTTATAACCCGCAGCATTGAAGGTCATATGACCCTTCAATTAGTAGACACCCTCCTCCTTAAATTGTGAAAAGTACACCATCTTGACGTTGTGATTTTTCAACTGCCACAGGGATTAAGATGATATTTTGTTTTCCAACAGACCTTTAGCGTTAGTTCATTTAAAGCAAAAAAAAATCGGGCGCTATGTTGCCCTTGAAGTTTCGTGCACGTAGTAATCTTTGGCCTCAAATCCCTAGTTTGCACTGGTGTTTGCACCAGTTTGAGATGATTTATTTATTTTATTTTCGGTTTTTTTCAGCAGGAAACCTTATCCTTCTATTTAGTCCAACCCTATTCAACCACAAGCCCCCAAGCCTTCTCTCCAGTAACGCATTCAACACAATATCAACATGCATGCAGCAACACATAGGGGCTGAAAATTTGATTGTCTGTGGGAAAACTCTTGGTGGCGCTCTGTAGTCTACTTTGTAAGACATTATTGGTGCACTGTCCCAATTCGAGGAATATTCTCCGCCAGGCAAAGCGCACAAAAAATACCTCCTAGACAGTTTCGAAAAGTGGGGTCTCTTTGGGCCAAGAAATGGTGGGATTGTGTCAGTATGGCCCAGGATCATCTGTGTAGATTCAGGGGCACCCATCCGGGGGCAAAGCAGACAAAAATGGGATTCAAAACTAGAAGAGCCGAGAAAGGTGAGAGATGTCATTTGAAAAATGGCCGCTGGGAAGACTTGGCAACATTCATTTGGGGGGGGGTGATTTGTTTTGGGCGGAAAATTAAAAAATTCATTTGCCAACCTACTAAAAATTGAAAATCTAATGAAATCTGAAGGACCAAACGACACAGGGACTTCAGTTGCCTGCCATGGGGCTCCAAACTAATTGGTTGATTTCACACTATTTTCAGTGGAGCTTGAATTGGTTCAGTGCACCCTACTCATAAAAAGACTGAAGCTACTTTATTCTTCACATAATGCAATGGTAAAATCTAAGGTGAACCTGAAAGGATATGTAATCACACGGAATGTCCCGTTACACAAGGACATTCTTGGTCATCTTTCTTGGCTGAAAAAAAAGCCCCAACACAGCAGTAGTGGCACTAGGCCTACTCGGTCTACCACACCAAACACCGAGTTGGATCTTATTGCCTGGCGTGCTGGGCTGTTTCATGATGTTGATCAGTAGATAACCATCTGCCCTACCCATAATTTTAACATGTTTAAGTTAGGCCTTGACTGGAAGCCATCTAGAAAATGTCAGCACGCACTCCATCCTGCAGCTTCAAAACAACAGCCTCGCCGTGACCGTTCTATTCAGGCATCAGTCTTAAAGGAAGTGTTCCAGTTATGGAATGTTTTATTGCCAATATGATCAGGGAGGTGCAAATTATTGCATTCGTTGGGCAACGTCTAGCATAAGCATACATGTATATGATCTAGGTGGTGGTAATGTTATAGTCCCATGCCAGTTGTCTGACATGTTGCTGCCACTTTTTGAGGGCCTGTTTTCCTCGGTCTCAGACTGACCACAGTCAATAGGTTGTGTTATCATAGGCCTACTCTTGTTACACACATGAACCTTACGTGGATGTATAGCCCCCCCCATGTGCTACTGAACACCAAATCTGATGAAGCAACACATGATGTAATAAGGCTGTGTGCCCTATACAGTGTGTTAGCATTGACCTCAATAATTATTTTGATTATCTTGTTATAATCTTGTCGGTTCCTGCACATGTATTTGCCCCTTCAACTAGACCATGATCACAACATGTACACACATGTACCCCACAAGACAATCACAAGACCATTACAAGTCCCTCACGAGACCGCCAGTCTGCATAAAATAGTCAAAGGCTATTAAAATAAATTGCAACGAAAGCATTCCTTTAATTGTCATGGCAGGCATTTGTAAAGATTGTAATGCAGGTCACGAAGAAGCTGTCAAGCAGCAAAGATTATGTGATCAAAATGGGGTAAGGACTTTTATTTTCCTGATGTTCATGTCAAAAACGATGGCTTGTCATCATGTTTGCTTACCATTACTTCTTGCTAAGAAACCAGTTTACAATGCACAACAGTAAGTCAGGTGATAACTAGGTTTTTCAAATGAAGACTGGTTGGAGAGGTCACACAGTCATAACATCTGTGTTTTTAAGTCTTCCTTTTATTTCAGCCCATTAGTGAGTGCACACCCAGCACAAGTTCAGAGGGCCAGGGATCAGTCAAACTACACAGTGGTGCAGGATTTCTGATGATGAGGTGGAGGATTCATCCTCTGATTATGGATCACCAGTGATAGCATCAAAGGTGAGAAAAGCATCGTATGGTCCCTTTTGACAACCAACATGACATGACTGTAACAGCCTCGACTCCTCAACTGACGTAAGATGATGTTTTTAGTAGCGCTGAATTTTGAGTCTCAGTAACCGAACTCGAAGCAATTGTCCTGGCCAAAGTGCACGGACAATTCAGACTTAAAAAGAAGTCTTAGTTGACAAACAGAAGTTGGTTTAGAATGCGAGTATCTCTTATTCTCAAAACTTCGCCTCATGCAAAGCTCCTCACAGTCAAACAGGGAGCTGGTGAGGAAAGTCCTCCTGTTTGCTAACAAGTATTTCACCCGCGCAGCAAAATACTTCACAAATGAAGTATTTTCTCAACACGAAAAAACCTCACAGGCTCAAAGCATCGAAGCTGGTCTCATCAGACATTAGCTCTCTGCTCGCAAAGTTCCAAATCAACTATATTAACATCGTCACTGAATATAAGTCACAAGTGAATTATGCAGTAAGGTTACATCACCCTGCTCTAAATTGATGACTAAATCCATTGACAAATCAGAACAAAACCAAACGATGTAAACCTTTGACTTATATCAATTTCTTCGTAAAGTTCCACCCCTTCATTTCAAAGCAATATTATTCCATGAAAAGTTGTGGGTGCACTGGCCCTCCGCCCCCACATTCCAAGTAGCTAACCAAGTTTTATCAATTGGTCAACTGGCCTTGATGAACATCTGGTGTTTGACTCATTGACCACTACACTTTTCTGGAAACCTGTTCACATAATCTTAACATTGTTACAATGACATTGGATCTTTTGATCATTAATGGACGTCCTAGAGACCCATTCCATATTGCATACCAGTAATGAAAATATTGCAGTTTTTTTATTGCTATTGTTTTGTGTTGTCATTCTAGAACCTCCAGGTCCTTATGCAGGAGCCTAGCATTGGTGAAAGTTCTTCATCTTCCAATGAAGGCTCCAGTTGGCCAGCTGACAGATCTTGGGCCCCGACCCCTGGCCTAGTGAGCAAAGTTGATATCTTAAACACGTTCTTATCTCATGGTGGTTATGAGCCAATAAAAAGACTGAAGCCTCTGGATAAATGTAGTTCAAGCACGAAACGGCTGTACAAACGGAAAGCCCGGGGGGGGGGAAGCAATCAACTTGTCATTATCTTGCCTTGCACCAGGACAAGAGGAGGAGATGCTCGAGGAGGTCATGAAGGCAGATAAACATGATGACACCAAGTCCAGGTTCACACGGAGGCAGCTACTCTCACTAATAGCCGATGGCAGGACCAAAGAACAACTCCTGGTAAGATATATGACGACTGAAGTGTATTGGAAGAAGACACTCATAAACTGCACAAAAAATCTGCCCCTCAACTCGTGAACGACGGCTAAACGTTTTGGACTGCTGGTACATTTGAACAGAGCATTTTTGCTTTGCTTTGGCCAGACACTCACGCCATCCATACACTCTAAAGATTAGCTGGGATTAGGCATCATCCTGATCCTGCCAAATCTAATGTTATTTTTGTTAACGGGGACCACAATTTTTTTCATTTGAAAACTCAAATGATTTTGATATTGCAATTTTCGTTTATGTTAATCTGAAGTTGATTTATTTCAGGCCTTGATACCCAATTTGACTGTTTACCGGATTGACCAGGCCAGGAAACATGCAAAAGAGGTTGGAACTGGTCAGCCTGTTATCATTGGACCAACCGGATTGACCAGGCCAGGAAACATGCAAAAGAGGTTGGAACTGGTCAGCCTGTTATCATTGGACCAATTCAAACATCCAGACTAGATGATGTAAAAGTTGATCACTTTTTGGATTTCATCAGCCGACCTAAATTCATCTGGGATGAATTGTTTGGCACAAAGGTCATCAACTGATGAGTCATGGAGAGAAATTTGAGATCCCAAATGTGGTCCGTTCCGTCATTGCCTCAAGAATCATTGACATCTACCAAAGCTATTGTGAAGAGACTGGGTTCTCACCACTGAAAACACGTTCATTGTGCAGCATTATACAGGTGAGGCATCATGTCAATGTGCATGTTATGCTTATTTTATTGTTGCTTGATAATATTGAGACCAAACTCTCTTTAAGGTGTATAGCTGGTCACTAAGGCTATACATACTACAGAAAATTCACTCATCATCTGTGCAAGTGTAATGGACAGGTTTGTGGCTAAATAGTTATCCCGTACACACTGTTGATTCCATCTGCAAGTTTGTGATGACCAGAATAAGATACGTGTACAGGTGTCTGGCTGCTGACGGTATTTATAATGATAAAATATCAGCACATGTACACATAATATCTTATTATCCATTTATGCGTTTATCAATTACGGTAGGTTTGTGCAGCCTCAAAGAAGGTACATGTATCTCTTGCCGGTCTTGATCACGTGGTTGCTGAGGGAACTGAAGCTTTTAAGTCCTTGCATGAGGCAGTGGAGACACTTTGAGAGTGTGGTAAGCTTGTTATTCGCTGATGCCAAACCTTATTCTAAAGGATAAGGGCTACCATTATTACCCGACGAACCACTTCACTGCATTGTGCTTTGATGTTACCTTTTTTATTAAAAAAATTGAATAATTTCAGTTTTACTCTTCGTTTTTGCTGTATATGTGTTGAAATTATGCTTACAGGCTATCCAACCTCCTGGATTCAAGACAAGCGGCAGAGCCTTAATAATGCCAGGTTTTACTTAAAGTCTGCATACAAGATGCATGTCGGCAATAACTCCGAGTGTGGAGATCACTATATCCCATTCGCACTTGATGATGATAGATGCAAACACACCCATGACTTCTGCTGTGAGCAGTGTGAAGAACTGAAATTGGTCCTAGAAGAAATTGAGGAAGCTGCTACTTCTGAGATTGCCCATTATTAATATGTATACATTCCATAGGATTTGCTGAAAATTTGTGAATGCATTACTGTACTGGCATGTAGGCGTCGATCTGAATTTGATTTTGATTTCTTTGTTCTCTTTAGAATCATATCTATGATTATTACAGGAAACGGGGAAGCGAAAAATAAAATAGCTGGATGTGTATCTGCATGTTTAATGAACCATAACTTGATGCAGAAATATTCCTGGCTATGCCATAAAATATAAGGTCTTCTTTCACACCAGATATCCAAAGCCGCAAGACCACCTGCTGTATGACATACAAACAGCAAACGAGCAAATCCTCATTCTAAAGGGTCACCTTCTGTGCCAGATACGCCAGGACCAGTCAAAATCAGACGTACTTGATAATCTAAAGACATCTCAGGCATTGATCACCATGGACTGGGCCATGAAATTTCTGCCCACCAAGTTCAGAGAGGCCCAGCAGGATTGGCACGGGAAAAAGGGTATCTCCTGGCATGTATCTGCTGCAGTCACCAAGTCTGAAGACGATGAATTCAAGGTGAGTGGAACCAATATTGGCAGCCATGATAGAATGTTGGCATATTTGAGATACTTTTCAAAAAGTGTTGTTCTATTGTAACAAATATTCTCCTCCCCTTGCAATTATCTCTTTCGTATTGGCATGTTCTGAATGTGAGTCAGAGATGTCTATAATTATATATTTAAATTGATATTTATGCATGGATATGATATACACAGTTTCACCAACAACCAGGCACAGAGGATACGTTGTGTCTGTTTGTGTGTCGGAATTTCATTGATATATTTTTCACTCGTTTTTGGGGTCTCTGATATTCTCCTTACTGCAGATCCACTGCTTCGTCCACATTGTGCAACAATGTACACAAAATTGGTTTGCTGTGCTGTCTGTGAGTGAAGCTACCCTGATGGAGATGAAGATTTGATTTCCACACATCACTGAATACTACTTCAGATCAGACAGTGCAGGGTGCTACCACAGTGCTCCACTTTTACTTGCCATTCCTGGTCTTGGAAAGAGGCTGAATGTAAAAATATGCCAGTATGACTTTTTTGAGGCCCACGCCGGTAAAGATCTGTGTGACAGGAAGATAGCCCCAAATGAAGGCGCACATCACCGGCTATGTAAATGAGGGCAACAGTGTAACTAGTGCATTGGAAATGCTCACTGCCTTGGGGACCTATGGTGGGGTGAGATGATGCTACCCTAGCGGTTCTCGAAATATGTGAAGAGGCTATGGAAGAGGGTGTTACTTGGCCTGGCATCACCCAGTTCACTAACTTTGAATTTCAGGAGGATGGAGTGAGTGTGACTAGAGGGTACAAGATTGGAAAACCAGAGTTCTACCCCTACACAGCCATTCTCAAGAACAACAAGCCCCAGGGTCCCACTAAGGTCAAGTTCAACGGGGACTACTCTGATCCGGCGGTGGCTGCTGGGGCTCTAAGACAGAAAGTAGTTGGATGTAATATGAGGTCAGGTACTTGTATCACTTGTACTGACGACTTGTGTCACAAGACCTTTTCAACTCAGGAGGCCTTGTTTGAACATTTGGCAGTTGGAAGACATACTTCAGACTCGGCTTGTGACACTAAGTTGGATGCCATTGCAAGGAAGTGGGCTGAAAAGGTATCACAAATGGCAACATCATCACCGTCAGCCCACTTAGAGTGAATCCAAGATGTCTGTGACTCCCAGTCCGATTAAAAATGGATGGGTAGTTAAGGCAATGAAGAAATCAAAGCGGTTTTCAGCTGCAGTAAAAGACTTCCTCTTTGAAGAATTCATCAGAGGCGCTGAGACTGGGAGGAAAGAAAATCCTGGACTGGTTTCCAGAAAAATCAAAGCCCGGCTTCCACGTGATGACTGGCTGACAACACAGCATGGACAACACAGCATAGAATTCCATTGTATGGAATGGAAAATCCTTAAAAACGAAACTAGTCATCTGGTAATAAGCTATGATATCCTTTAAGGTAGTTAAAATTGTCTTCACTTTGCTATTAACATATATTCACATTCAGAATAACAAACACCATTCTCACCACCTTCCACTTCCCCCGCCCTTCCCTCCCCATACTATGTGGAACTCTCCTATTTTGATTAAAAAGTCTTATTCACTTTCCTGTTTTGAACGCATAGATCTACATTCTGGTGACAGCACTATAAACTGCCTCAAATTCATGATAATATCCATGGTTACCCTTCAAAACTGAATGCAGCGCCCAAAGTTTTTCTGTCTGATTTTGGAAAACCCATTGTATTGGTAATATTTCCACCAAGGTTTGTTATTCATATCCCTGTGGCAGTTGAGTTATTGGAGCCTAAACCTACCTATTAGTAACACCATGTCTTTGGGTAAGGGTAGTTCTCAGGACCATAGCTCCAAAATTAGAAGTTATTTTTTTAACATTTTTCTGAATTTTACTAGCCAGTATGTTAGGAAAGCTTCGTGCGAAAAAATAATATTGTAACTGTTACCATTTTCGATTCATGGCAACTTGTACAAAACTACTGAAAAATCCTCGAAAACTGGCGCCGAAAGGAAAACCCCGAAATTCACTTTTTTGCATTTATCCAAAAACTACTGAATAGAATTGGCCCACTGTTATATTCTACATTCTCTAAGAAGTTGGTCAGGTGCACATGTCCATCAAATTTTATTGAAATCGGCTAACTTGAGGTAATCACCCTCTGCATGGTCTATCCATGTAATGGCACTTAACAAGAACAGAAGGTTTCTCAGTAACAAAAAACCAACAAAAACAGGAACATCACACGCAAGGTGGTCAAACTGGTGAGATTGTGTAAATCCTTGCCAGGATCAACTCCCTGGGTCTTTGAGCTTTCATATGAGAGCAGAATGGCTAAGGTGAGAAAGGTGAGGGTTACCACTTGAAAATGGCTGCAATCAGACTTGGGAAAAATCACTTTTTGGGGGTGATTTTGTTTTGTGGGAATAATTAAAAATGTAATTTGTTAACCCACAGAAAATTGAAAATAAATTGAAAGATAAGTGACCAGACAAGAATTTCATTTGTGTTTCAGAAATCTTAGGGATGCTGGCGTGCATGTTATTGGGCCGTGAATAGTGCTGATTTTACACTGTTTTCAATGGGGCTTGAATTTAGTGGACTGTACCCGTAACTACACCCCAGGTCACTGCGGCCGGGCCAGAGGTCACACTCTCCAGCAAAATGTTTCTCTCTTCGTGAAAACGGTGAGGGTTTATCATCTTGGCCTTCAATAGCTCAACAAGCTCAATGAAGTAAAAGAAAAAAATATTACCGATACATTCCAGGTTATCTCCCGTGGTTTACGCCAGGCTCCGAGTTCTACTTCTACCTTCATGGATAGAGCACCTTCTTCAAGTGTGTTGGAATGCAATCCGTTCATGTCCTCCACTGGATCATGGTGGTATTTTTACCTCCATGGTTGGATCGACAGAAGAAATAAAGCAGGGCCACAAACTTAGGTGTTTAGCCCATAATATTAACAATTTCGAGAAGGTCATATTTAATGTAAGATAAATTACTCAAACTGATTCTTTCCCGCAGACTGAATTAGGCTCAAGAACTAAAAAGCACGTCTTGTGCAGCACCAAAGCCAAGAACTCACATGCCCTTCGTGACTGATGTTCTAGGCGTACTACATTACTAGTAAAATAATACCAGCGCCAGGCTCTTGAACTGAAGTGATTGCAAAAACAAAAACGCGGATCGTGTCTCGAGTTATGAGGCACTAATGTCTGCTGTGGACACCATGTGCTTTGTCACTGATGCTGAATGCCTGATGATGTAAACGGTCAAAAACTTTGGACTGATGTCATTGGACGCAATGTTGGGATAAATATAAATGCATGTCCTTATTTCGAAACACGGCAACCAGTGGTGCCATCACAATTACTGCTGAAAGGAGTCTAACAGGATAACAGCCATGCGTACTAAAGATACAACCACGGCCACCGTACACGCATGTATCTATCCTGCAAGCCTGGTTTCTGCAGACTACATAAAGTGTTGACTTATTTATTGTCCATTAGCGGCCTTCCCAAACACCAGATAATCGGGGGCCCGAGACTGTAACATTAAACTTGGCTCTGTCCCGTAATGATGACACCGCTGTCCGGGTGAAGCCTATGATTTGTGCATTGTTGGTCGTATAAATATCTGTCTGGTTGGATCCAGTGAACCCCTCAATAAGGTACGAGCACAGCCCGAATTAGCCCCAGACTGGGGCCACTCAGTCTGATTCCATCTGCATCTTAGGCCCCACAGCGGTCCATTCGAAAAGTGGGGAGTCAGCAAAAATGCCTTCTATGAAATCCCATTTACGTGCATGGATCACTCACCCCATCGAACCATCAATGTAATACTTTGAGCGACATATGCAGTAAGGTATGAGACGGAGAGAACCCCCCTTGCTTTGTGTCGGTCA